GGCATTGATTCGGGTTCCGATACTTAAAGTGATAATTACTGTGCTTTATACGGAGCGAAAGACTGTCACTAGGTAGTGGGGGCGAAGCCTGACATCGGGGTCGGCCACGGAAATGAAAGTGCTTGTGTAAGCGACTTCTGAGAACACAGCACTGAATTCACTCCATGTACCTGACCCCTGACCAAGGTCCACAATCTAACCTAATTTCCTCCCCCAACACAAGTATCTCTACAGGCCCATTGCGCCATGCGGGTGTCATAAAAACGATGAGTTGTAATCAAAGTACACTTATGAACCCTGTCCAACGGTACAATTCTCATTATCCCTGTACTTGTTCTGGCCTGATGAAGAGTTACTGAAAACATATGCTCTAATAAATGTTCATTGTATTACACAACTCTAACGTACGTGTAGTTGCTGAAAACAGAATCTAGCTAAATCAACTTTCCAAATTCAACGTGGGAATATTTGCAGAATTTACTAGGATGTTTAGGATAAACAGAAATTCTGAAGTCTGAGGAACATATCCACTGACCTATTTAGCACTATTTCGAAACACAATGAGTAAGAGTTTGACGGGGAGTTTATTGTAATCATACCTCTTTGCCGTTTATTTATTGGGAAATTTTTTTAGATACGTCTTACTTTATATTGTTTGATATTTTGGTATGACTTATATGACTATTTGTTACATATTTAAGGACAGATTTATCCGTTTGAGATAAATTTTTCGAGGGCTATAAACTCACCGCAACTAAAATAGAGAAAAGTAAGCATAAGGAGAAAGCGCGTCCTCCAGTTTTGAGAAAAAGCAGGCGGGCGTTTTTTGCAGAACGACCACACTTAAAAATGGTCCTTTTCGCAGACCGTACAAGATACTCAAAATAAAAACAACCAGTTGGGGTCGTTGATGAAACGACATGAGTGCCCATTTTAGTGACATAAACCGGGGCACTGCCCAAAACGATTAAACCAGTCGACGCATTTGAATTTTAAACTTTCCAACAGTATTGTTAAATGTTTATGATGAACAAATTGCACTTAATAGCCATCCCTTTTTTAAAACAGTGCCCAGTCAATTTTGAAAAACAAGAGATTTACTTTGGAGTGGATTCACTGATAATTTCAAATACTCTGATCAGAAGCATTATTTTGTATTCAATTTTGTGCTTGCCAAGCCTACGCTAAATACAATTTGCTACATTTTACGTTATTTATGATTTTTTTGCTGAAAAAAGACCACGAGGAATAAAAATCGACTGGTTCGATGGTTATTGTATATCCACCATCTAGCGCTAAAGGCTATTATGCGTTTCTGGACAAAAGTATTTAATCCACGTGGGACCAAGCATTGAGTATTTCCAGGTTGAGTCTATTTATTTTTTACGTTAAGTTCCACGGCAAGCGAAATTCGGATAAAAGATCAAAACAACTGCTTAGCGAATGAAGGATTTGCTTGTAAGAGTGTTTAAAAGGAGCTTAGATATTTTGTCGTGTAATGACACAAACACAAAAAAACATTTAGATATAAATAGTTGTCCAGGAAATTTGAAAGATAATAGTTTGGATGTTCATGATCATAATCCCAACACGTTTGATAACAAAACACATGTAAAGGAGGCTTGTGAGGAATGTTCAGAAAACAACCAAACCAAAAACCTTTCGGATAATTTTGGAAATCAGCGAACGCCAACACTTTAAGGGGAATCTATCAAATGGAGAAAAAGGTCCCTATTTGAATGAGAAACATGTCATAATTTCAAATGGCATGTTTAATTTAATTAAACGCTGAATTAAATCACAAATGCGGGCGATTGGTTTGCTAGAAAGATTAAAAATACCGTGAACTTAAAAATTACTTGAACAGCACTTTAAAGGATCTACTGCAGAATATCCGAAAAGGGTGGGCTATCTAATACGTTAAGATTCCGGAAGAAGTGGCAGATTTTTACTGTATTCGTTAGAAAACATGATATACTTACATAAACGTGTAGATACTGCTAGTTAACCCGAAATTATCTAGTCTGGGAGAAAAACTTCAGATTGTATCTTCCAAGCTCATCGAGTCTCTTGTTCTCTCCTTCACGAAAGATGGTCACTTAATATTCCAGCTCGTAGTGAAGACAGACTGGTTGCATTCAGCACTGTGTAAAAGAGGGCCGCGTTATATAGCCATAAACATCCGAAATCCACTTTTTTTGACTACACTGCCGAAAAGATGACTTAGGCACTATTCATGCTGAGGGAATAGATCAATGATCTCAATTTTGCTTAGAACCTCATATATGTACCAGTATCATATTTTGCAAAAAGATATAAAGAGAAGTCTCGCGGACGTTGCAATGCCTTGTGTTTGAACATAGTTCAGTGCTGAAGATTTATATTAAGCAGTGGCTATTACTGTCTCCTTCGTTTTTGTTCGTAATACTATTCGTGCATGCGCCTTCGAAATACCTTTTTCCACGTGATATCAGCCTGTGTTCCATAACCCAAAACATTTGTAAACCTGACGGTGATTCATAGAACTGCACGTGTTATACTTTAATAATCCATATCCCTAATAATGGTTGGTTACCCAAGCTTACAGTACTGGAGATGTCCTTTGAAATCTTGCTTTAAAATCGATTGTCCGATCTTTAAGCGTTTTTCAACTGAGATTGAAACAAACCTATCCAATTTCTCAGGTCAGCCGCACCACAGGCCAGACACTATCCTGTCCTAAATTTGAATGCCAGAATAACGCGCTAATTAGGGAGCAGTA